CGTCCTTGTTAATGCACTTGTAATAGATGTACGTTCCTACTCTGTATTGTTGGGATTGCCTTGGGCAATGGCGGTGGGCGCATGTCTGCATTTCGATTCGAAACAATTGGTGCTCACACAGACTGGGGAAAAGCCTCAGACTGTTCCCTTGCGGGTTTCCACCCGAACGATAAAACGGGTTCCTAACTCGCTCCAAATAGGGATGATCCGATACCTTGATCTCGAGGAATGCTCCCCCTCGCACCTCGAGGATGGAATCAGGGAACGAGAATACGAAGAAGAGATGCCCAGTAAAAAGGAATGGAAGCATCTGGTCGAACTTTTCGAACATGAAACCCCCGAAAAATTTCGAGTGTGCCCCAACATCGCTCGAAGCTTTCACGTGGATTCCGAAGACAATACATTCACGCCTCTAACAACCCAGGTCAGTCCTTTCGTCCTCCTCGGGGAACCCATATTACAAGTTTCCGATCTGGCTGATGATTTGGAACCCCCTCGCACCTTGTACGAGGGAGCTCTTTCCTAACGAACGCGTTATCAGCAAACGGAATAGTATTTGGACATTTTTGTTTTCCCACCCCGATCATTACTAACGAGAGGAGCCACCATCACCTTGATTAAACAAGAAGCGGAAGCACCGGTAAGTGATGTGCCGAATCTAATGCAAAAAATGATGGATCTAACAGGACTAACTGTGAAACCGACTTCGGTTGATTCAGAGACTGATGCTGAAACTAAAGAAACGGAGATGATCAGCCCCGCCGAGTCCCAGATGATAGCAACTGTCTTTTCTGTTCGCACCAGTAGTTCCGTTTTCTCTAGTGTCCATGAGCGGCGGGAACGGCCGGTTGACTGAATCGATATGCCCCTTAATATGTCCGGGGAATCGACGATCCCCCTCCCAAGTCACGTTCCCGCGGAATTTCGGAAGTCGCTAATCTGTGTATTGAATGGTTACGCAGAAGTGTTGAGCGTGCATGACAATGACATTGGGTTAACTAATGTAATTGAACATGTCATTCTCACGGGAGATCATCGGCCAATTAGCTGCGCTCCCTATCGATACTCGCAGCTCAACGAGCGACCGCTTTTCAGCGGATTAAGGAGTTCGAAGCTAATGGATGGATCGAACCCGCTATAGGATCATGGTCCTTCCCTGTAGTGATCGTACCTAAGAAGGCTGGGGGGATTCGCATTTGCATTGATTACTGAAAGCTGAATGATATCACGATTAAAGATGTGTATCCCCTCCCCCGGATTGATGAGTTATTGAATGTGATTGGGAGTGCTCGATTTTTCAGCAAGTTTGATGTTCGCCATGGGTTCCATCATCTTCTTGTCCGAGAGGAAGATCGACCGAAAACAGCGTTTGTGCTTTTCGAAGGCACGCGGCAATGAATTCGATGTCCGATGGGTATCTGCAATGCTCCTGCAACTTTTCAGCGGGCCATGAACATGGTCTTTCAAAATTTCGTACGGAAGACTCGTTTGGCACAGAGCATCATCAACTACTTCGTGATTATGTACATGGATGACATCCTAGTGTATTCGAGTTCTTATGAGGGACACGTGCAGCACATCGAATGGGCAATGCATACGTTACGAGATTCAGGTTTCAAGGTGGCACTTGAGAAGTGTCAGTTTTTCCTCACCACCATTTCTTTCCTAGGGCACGTGGTGACAGACAAGGGACTCCAACCGGAGCCGCAGAAGGTGGCAGTTGTCAGGGATGCGCCAGTACCAACCACTATCACGCAAATTCACGCCTTTCTGGGCCCAACATCGTATTTCCGAAGATTCATCAAGGGCTTTGCAGCAATAGCGGGNGCGCCAGTACCAACCACTATCACGCAAATTCACGCCTTTCTGGGCCCAACATCGTATTTCCGAAGATTCATCAAGGGCTTTGCAGCAATAGCGGGACCCCTAACAAATCTCTAACGCAAGGATCAACCGTTGATCTGGACGCCCGAGTGCGATCGAGCGTTTTCCAAGCTCAAGGCTGCTCTCATTTCGGTTCCAGTCCTTATAAGACCGGATCCCGAAAAACCTTTTGTTCTCATCACTGACTGGCAGCTAGAGGCGATTTCGGCGATCCTTGCCCAGGTGGGACCAAGCGGACTCGAGAGTGTGGTGGAGTATGCGTCCAAATCAGTACCCGCCTGCAAGCGCAAGTACACCGCTCCGACGGGAGAATGCTATGCGGCTCTCTGGGGAATCAGTCACTTTCGTGCTTACCTGTATAGGCAAAAGTTCACCCTGGTGATTGATCATGAGCCCCTGTTGGCTCTAAAGGAATCAAAGGATTACTCGGGCATAATTGGGCGATGGGCAACGGTGCTGCAGAGCATGGACTTTGACATCCGCCATCGGAAGCACGAGAGACACGGGAACGCGGACGGATTGACGCGGTTACACAGGCCCGAGAAACTTCTGAAAAGTAAGGAGATGATCCCGTGGAACGCACCCGAGCAGAAGATTGGACCTCGGTACGGCCAAGTGGAGGTTTTGTCGAAGCAGTAAGTGACACGAGGACTAATTTGCCTGCTCTACTCTCTCCACAATTCAGTCCCGTCTCTTCCCCTCTGTCATCATGACTACTCCGCCTGCCTTCACAACCCCTTCTTCTCCTACTAATTCTGCCCCGCTTACTTCCTCAACTTTCTTTGCCACCCTCCCCGATAAATTCTGTTATTTTTGCACGTGCATTGCACGGGTTTATGGGGTCGACTGTCATCCCTTCGAAACTGGGTTTGTCGATTGGGTAGAATGTGCCGCGTGTGTCAATCGTGCGCACGGGGCATGTGTACGATATCGAACGAATAGCAAGGAATGGAAGTGCCCCCTATGTAGAACGAACAAGCTCCCCACGGAGGTTCGATTCGAGGCCGCCCGTACGGACGGCCCTGAATACAAAGAAACATACCGACGAGCGGAGGTCTGGACAGATAAAATTTTATTAGCGAAATTAGCAGGGTTATCATTGGGTCACCTCACCAAACATGACAGACGTAGGGCAACCAAGAGATCTCGGGATTATCAATGGATCAACGGTCATTTAGAAAAGCGTAAAACTGACGGATCGGGTTCGTGGTTGACGGTTCCTCATCCATTCCAGAGATACGATTGGATCCGATCTGTTCATGAGGAACAGGCCGCTCATTTCGTGATACGAGTCACGGAGGCAACTGTAGACCAGAACCAATGGTTCTGGTCCAATAAACGAGATGATGTCAAATACATTGTCGCTAATCTGTCTCTTATACACATCTAGATGTGTATAAGAGACAGGGTTTATCATTGGGTCACCTCACCAAACATGACAGACGTAGGGCAACCAAGAGATCTCGGGATTATCAATGGATCAACGGTCATTTAGAAAAGCGTAAAACTGACGGATCGGGTTCGTGGTTGACGGTTCCTCATCCATTCCAGAGATACGATTGGATCCGATCTGTTCATGAGGAACAGGCCGCTCATTTCGTGATACGAGTCACGGAGGCAACTGTAGACCAGAACCAATGGTTCTGGTCCAATAAACGAGATGATGTCAAATACATTGTCGCTAATTGTCTGGTCTGTGCCGCTGATCGCGCCCCCATACGGGGACCAAACACGATCGTACCAATGGAAGTAGAGCGTCCTTTCCAGCGAGTCAGTATGGACACGACCGATATTGACGTGCCACCTGACCCAAACCGCTGTGAATATTCTATTTTATTAGTATTAATTGACCACTTTTCCAAGTATATCGAAGTCTATCCCTGTAAGACCCGAAAGGCCGCAGAAATAGCCACGTACATCGAACGGTTCCTCTATACCCATCTAGATACGGACGAAATTCTAACCGACAATGGATCTGAATTTAAAGGTGAGGTAGAAGAACTACTTGCGCGAAGGGGCATCACGCTTCGACATACGGCACCCCACGTGTCCCAGTCGAACGGGTTGGCCGAGAATGCCAACCGTATGATTAAAACCGCCCTTCGCAGGAACTTAGCGGCACACGACACGCGTCCTTGGCCAGAAATCGTATATCAGATCGTCGGGATCCACCGGGCCACCCCTCACGAGTCTACGGGGTTCACCCCCTTTCAGCTTCGAACTAATAACCTCCCCTGTGTCGATTACTGGGGTAACTCGGAAATTGCCAAGGCAGGGGGTAGAGACACGCGTGCGGCCCTCAAAGCCAAGGCCAAGAGGTACGCCGACTTAATGGAATGGGCCGTTCCGAAGCTAGCCCGGAAAAGGCAAAGGATGACCGAATTGGTCCACGGTAGACAGGTCCGCAGCTATGAGGCTCGGAACGGGAATGTCGGACCCCAGTACCAATATAAATTGGGGGACCTAGTGCAGGTACGTAAATGTGCACGCGACCGGAAACTCGCTCCCAAGTTCTCTGGTTGTTTTCGTGTTGTCGAACTTGGACCCAACGACGCCAACACGGTGCGCATCGCGCCTGAGGCTAGCGCCAGTCATAGCTCCGTCCCCATCGTCCGTCATACCTCCTATCTCCGTCTCCTTCCTCCTTCCGATCTTCCTCCCTCTTCTCCTTCGGAAAGCGAGGAAAACAATGACGATCTAACCCTCTCTCCCCTTTCTCCCTTTTGTCCCTCGTCCTCCTCTCCAACCTCGCCAAGAGTTTTATCACGGAGCGGGTTCTTGACTTACAACTGCGACAGCCACGTGGCTACATCTCATAAATTCGACAAGTTTGTCACCCTCGGCTCAATACGGATCTTCGCCGTTTGATGCGATTCTTCTGCGACGAAGGTATATGTGTCGCTGCTGCATTTCGGATAGAAGGAAACCCTCACGCGATAGTGTTCGCAGAGGTTACTGCAGTTCATCGGCGAGCGGGTCCCAGAACGAGCCACGTCACCACAGCGGCGGGATTCACCGGTGACATCAGCTCGGTCAACCCGCAGAGGCACACCGCGATCTTGGCCTCGCTGCGCGAGTGGACGGAGCAAGTCTCCAACGTGTGGCAGCACGTCCTCGCTCGAGAAGGATATAACATCATTCCGATCTCTGCATCGGACCTTGATGGCATTCGCCGAGCACCGCGCGAGCGGCCAATTGTGATTCCAACCCTCGTCCCCTTCCCCCATCCCCAATGAACCACGCCAATCTTCTCGCTCATCTCTCTATCTGTGGTCTTCCCTCTTTCTTCCCCACCTTCTGGCAATCCGATCTTCACCCTTCTCTCTCCTTCTCATTCGAGGCTCTTTCGGTTCCTCTTATCCATCCTAGACATTGGCAACTGTGACCCGAAATTTTTGAGGAATTATCTTTTTGTCTGGCCCGAGTACAAGTAAAGTGGACAGGCACTATCGAGCACCCCACGTGGATCGAGAATCCGGAGTTGCTGATCATACAGGGTTGGAGGACTAACGCAGAAGGAGATCTTATTGGATTCCTCTTTGGATCGGTACAACCGGGTCGCCGTCAGTTGATTGCACAGGAGCTCATCGCACCGATCGTACAATTGGCGGACGATCTCTCGCCCGACATCTACTTTTAGAGTGACGACAGTCCTGCCCCGTACATTTTCGAGCGATCCTTGGACCCGTACCTTCAGTGGACTTCGTGCTTGGAGGAACCTAGGGACGAGGAAAGTACGCTACCATCGCGGCAGGAGTATATGAAGCCGTACGAGATCATCCCTTACGCCTTCTACCCGAGGGCAGAAGAAGTGGTGATTCACGACGACGACAACGAAGAAGAAGACAATAACGAGGAAACATCGGAGGAGGGAAGCCATAGTGAACATAGCGAGGGTGAGCTGAGTGAGGAGGAAGAGAAAGAAGAAGGAACCAGGTCCGAAAGGGAAGCCCTGCCGGAGGAAGCGACGTGTACGGGAACGGAGGCGGAAGATCCGGAAGTGGCGCGAAAGCGCGAAGAGATTGCTTCCGGAAAGCGCCAGCTGGAGTCCTCTAGCGAAGCCAGCCTGCGCATCGGTAGCGATCTGACCAGGGAGCCATTGCCACCAATGCCCAAAGATGGAGGCCCTGCAGCCGCCACCTCAAGTACCACGCGACGGAGACGGCGCCAATCCCCCTCCTCCTCCAGCCCCACCCGTCCCCCAGTCCGCCCACGTACCGATGCGGGCGATAGGCCTTCGTTCTCGGACGCTGTCCCGCTGGCCCCTTGATTTCCTCACCCTCGAACAGATCCGTACCCCTGTCACCTTCCCTTCCCACCCTTTCCACCCCCATCTCTTCCGTGATTTCTACTCTACCCGTTTACTCGCCACTGTCCACCCCCATGCCTCCCTTCAATCCGCTGCTCCCACATTCTGCTGGCATCTTCTGCTGTTCAACGCTGCATGGAGCGAAGCAACGT